AATGATAAAAAATAATCAGAAATATTAATTTTGATTAATCAATTTAATCATAATTTCAATTAACTGATTAGTCTAGATGACTCCAATCAATGTAATTGCTGCTGACAAGTAATTGATTAAGTTTCCCAGCTCTGTATCCAAGTAATCGAAATACTGCCATTATGATTTATCATTACTACTTTTGATTAATTCAAAGTTGTTCAGCTTAAGTGATTAGTGTCACAACTCACAAAAATAATCAAACCAATTATTCCAACTATCCAAATAATGTGAGACTAATTAATTAATTGAATGTAATCAGTTAATAAGCCCAATGATTAACCAATTAGCAAATTCCACTAATTAATCAGCTCTAAATAGCAATTTTTTCTAGTGCATCTAAGTTATATTAACAAAACTGCAACATTAACCATCAATTTGCTAGTTTTCTAACATTAATAATAGAGCCCTACATGGATGAATTGAGTCAATATAGGATCAACAGGTTTTATATTTGCATCTATGTTTTAAATCCTTAGGTAAATAATTATCTTTTAACACAACAGTTAGCTACAAGTAATTCTCTGCAATTGTAACTTTAAAATACATTTTTCACTAAAATAAACAACAAATTACAAATAGCATAATACAGCTTACTAAATTTCTCAATTTGTTGGGGTTTTTTTGGCATTTTTTGGTGCAAAGCAACCAGGCTATCTGCACATTTAATACTTAAGCCACAAAAACAGGAATATCAAAACAGCAAGACTGAACAATTCTTATACAGATACAAAAATAATTAAAAATTCATAGAAAAAAAACAAAACACAATGGTTTGAAATATTATTTAGGAAAAGGTTCCTTTAAAAATGACTTATGAAAAAATACAGAAAAAAAGTTGCTCAGTTATCTAGCAGTAGACTGGAAAACCACAAAGAAAAGTAATGAAAATAAGTACATTCTTGTGGAAGATAAGGTACTGTATGTTTCACTTACGAAAAAAAATTCAAATGATAATATATACTGAAGCTTAAGTTCAACAAATATATTTTACACAAATTTCTTTTTGAAGTTGTAATGATTTTCTAACCATGTCTTAAGTTCCAAACTAATAGATTCATTACTTTCCAGTATGTTAGTTTTCATTGTTTTTACACATCCACTTCTGTCAACAATATATAAGTGCATTATTTTAAGTTATTCACAGTATGAAATTCACAGACTCAACTACAAAAAATATATGTCTGAATAAAACAGAACAACAAAATTCATTCACACACATACCTTTGAGTATTGCAATTAACAAACTCTTAAAATACAAATTTTTAGAATTAAAAAGGATTTTAGACAGTTTCTTATTCATGAATAGACAGCAAATTGTCAGTCACTTTTGACCTCCAATTACAATACTATGATAGTTTACAATGATAAAGACCACTCTACCAACAAGCAGCTTCTAACAGTACACATACAGCCAGGAATTTACTTAGTATTTTGCATCAACTGATTACTATATTAATTCAAAATAAGGTATCCTTCCACAGACATTTATGTGATATGCAAGCACATCATACAATTTTAATCTACTTTAGAAACTTTAAAAAAAAATTTTAATGTTAATTTCCATGTTGTAATGGTGACAAAAAGTAGTACATAAAGTCATTAAAATTAACTTGTGTCTATTCTCCCGGAGATTATATTGAAGCAACATGTAGCATACAGGTTGAAAGGACTTACATAATAACATCCTTTGCTGGTCAATTTGTCATTAACTAAACGAAAAGTGTACTAATGCTGTGAAAGAACAAAGATCATGAGGTGATGCTGTCAAACTGGACCAAAAAAGTGAGTTTAACTGTTGAATTCAGGGTTCACTTTCTTTAGGTAGTTCTAATAGGAGGTTTTGTTTAATTCAACAGTAGTTGATCTTGAATTTAATGTAATTAAATCTTCACAAGACTGTTTGTTATAATAAAGAGTTTGTTAATCTATTCACAGAAAGTTAAACACAGAACACTCCCCTTACTACTTGATTGAATCTGGTATTATTAGTGGGATTAACTATCAGATACTTGTTGGGAAATCAGTTTTACCTGAAAATACCACCAGAAGATAGGTTTGTTTGTTTTGAATTTCATGCAAATCTGCGCTAACCGTCCCTAATTTAGCAGTGTAAGACTAGAGGGATGGCAGCTAGTCAACTCGTCAACCCACCGCCAACTTTTGGGCTACTCTTTTACCGACGAATAGTGGGATTGACTGTCACGGCTGAAAGGGCGAGCATGTTTGGGGTGACAGGATTCGAACTCACAACCCTCAGATTGCAAGTCGAGCATCCTAACCACCTGGCCATGCCAGGCCACAGTAGATAGGAAGGAGAAATTTTCAAACAGTGCCATCAGGATTTGTTAAGAAGTTTCTGAAACAGTAAAGTGTATATTAGTCCTTTCTTGACCTTTCAAGTTTAAATGAGGATCTTCTCACAAAAATAATGTAATTTTCCAGATATAGAGGTACTCATGACCAAGAGACAGAAGTTACTAACAGAAAAAAAAAATGGTTGTATGAGTAAGATAAAGTCTAAGAGAAGGCTGTGAAGGCCCATGACATTAGTCAGCCTGTAAATGCTGTCTCAGGGAGACCTGCTCATATCTGGTGTAACCAGACCACTAAAATGGACAGTACCCCTGAGGATTGATCTTATTGAAAGGGATATGTGGATGACTGAGGTTCACTAAAATAGACTGGCAACTAGCAAACTTGAGACTGCATGCTGAGGTCTCTACCAATCTCCTTAGCCATTACTACAAAACTGTAGCCACACCTCTAGTGGACAGAGGCTATACATGCTGCTTATGGATGATTCCTTACAGGTGGAAAGGTGCTTTGTGACCTTTTCAGCAGTTTGCAACATCTGAAATCATGCAGGACTATAAGATGAGCCACCCTGAGTAACTAGTTGCTCTTGACCAGAGTCAAACCATCCACTGGGGTTTCAGAGTCCCTGTGAGTGGCTTCCACCCATAATTGAGGACACCAGTGGCATCTTCTTTTAGCATCATTTGGTATTATGAGAGGATCATGTGACTGAGGCAAGCAAATCATGCCCCCCAATGTTTTAGGGGACAGCAAGAGAGGATCTAGTCAGGCTCCTAAAATGTTTCAGGCAGGTCTTTACCTAGAATACATGGACTCAGGAACAGACTGGATGCAGCAAGAATAAGACTATCACATATTAACAGAAGAAGTACATAGGTTTAAGAAGGTTTTTTTATAGTTTCTGTAAATGTCCTTTTATTGCAAATTGTAAAAGTACTTGTGTATTAAATTATTCTTGTTTGAAAACTACAGAAATTGTTTTCAATGAGACAAATCAGATAACTTGAGATAAAGCAGGTAACCTTACATGGTTTATAGATGAGTTGAATTGATAAAGAAAAACTTATTAAAAGTTTAACATAGTAACAAATCTACAATATTTAGAGAAGGTTCTGTCTTCATAAAGATAAAGTAATTTACTTAGACACACACATATAATATGAATCAAAGAAGTCATATGACTGAATATTGCTTAAGTGTTAATAAAATTATCTTGATGTTTGGTTCTTTGTTTAAACTATGTTTTTACCTTTTATAAATATACTGTGGTTTTATTTAGTTGCAATGTTTGTAAACATGTATTTTTTTTTATTTTGTTTTCCAGATAAAATAATCATAAAATCAGATAACAACTATTTAATGAGTATGGTAGGTGACTGCAAAATTGTGATTACTCAAATTTTTATTGAATATAATTTTATGTTTATGTTATTCAAACAATGTACATAAATAAATTAGATTGTCTAACTGGCTAATTTATTATTTGCAATCGTCATGGTGACATGTTTTAAATAAAAACATTATTACCCTTATCGAATGAGTAAAACATGTTTTCATTACTTAATTATCAATTTACTTGACTTAAAGAAGATTAGTGTAGGATTATTGCATATTTGAAAAACAAACAATCGCAATCATATGGTGGTGGTACTTAGTCAACATTAGTGATTCATCTCCCAAATAGAAAATGCTCATAAAACATATGGAATTTTGTTTTTTGGCAAAAAAGATTTTCGCAAATATGCAGATGGTCACATCAATTATATGAGATCAAGAAGAATCAGAAAATTACTTAACCAAAACAATACAAAAGCAAACAGGAAAATTATCAGTACATTAACATAATGCAGTGGTTGAAAAAGTTAAGATCGTAAGCACATACCCATTTTTTTTTCTTTGCTTGCACAAGTTTTAGGGGTATGGTGTACTGATCAATTAATTGAATGTAACTGATTAATGAGCCCATCAATTAATCTATTCACAAATACCCATCTGATCAGTTCTAATCAACAGCAATTTTGGCTCCCACTTTCAATGGAGTGAAAAATGCAATCAGGCATTCTGTTCCATAAAAGCTTACAAAATTGGTACAATGTAAAAACATAGAAACCAACAAAAGTCAGAATTCAAGAGAATATGTAACAGACAAACAAAACTGTAATACAGATCTATTTGAATAGCCCAACATGTCAAAGCAGGTCACACAATAAAGTGGAATAATTATAAAATGATGTGACATGTTTTAAGTCCATAATTTCATTTGCACATAAAATGGTTCTTGTTTAACACAAAGTTTCTAACTCATAAATTTTATTAAATTAGCTATATCAATGAAATCTCACAAGTACAGAACCAACAAATCAACTTTCTCTTGTGGTAACTATCATCTCATGTTCTTCTTACATATTTGAAATGAGCCAAAAATGCATATTTTTGGATAACAGCTAAAGAAGAAGAACGAGGTTTTTAAAATTTCTTGGGAACAAGCAAGTTCTAGTTTTTAATGAGCACGCATGCATGTAGTTAAAACCATTATATGTTATAAAAGAAAATACCTTAATGTGAATCATTCCAGTGTTCTAATCTGGCATGATGATTATTAGAAAGACTATAAAATACGGTTCTCATTACTAGTCACTTACCATGCTTTCTGGTCCGAAACATAATAACCACTACCAAGAAGGTCAAGATTTCTGACTCTCTCTAAAAGAAACAAAAGTACATTTTAATTCACTATCCATTCAAAACAAAATTCTAAACTCATATTTAGAGAATATTCATACTGGGTGTCACATATGGAGATATTGTATTCAAGGCAAAGCTAATAAGGCTATCTCCATCCCTAATTTTGAGAAACTGACCAGTGGAAAGGCAGACAGTCAGCAGCACCCTACCACTCATATTAAGGGCTTAGGAATTTTCTATCATTCTTATAATGCATGTACAGCTTAAAGTGGCAGGAGTGATATTGCATTGACTCAAACCAAACTCAGCAGCTCCAAAATCCACAAGGCCAAACTATGCCTCGCATATGGAAATCATAAAATTAACATGTGTTACACTGTATCAGGACTTGATCCAAGTAATTAAATACGTAAAGAATCATTCAAAATAGGTATGTACATTTAGATTTTTGAAAATTTCATACAAATAGCCCCAAAGTAGAGAATCAAGTAGTTGAGGGTGGGATCTCACATTTGGCTGCATGGATTTATGAGAAAGTTGGCAAAGATATACAACTGGTCAATCAAAAGAAGAGTCTACTTTTACATTTTGGAGAATCAAAACTGTTTTAGGGTTTCTCAGGATTGGCTGCATGGATTTAATTGAAAACTGTCAATCAAAATAAGGTGTGCAAAAGTTTTAGCATTCCCATGAAATTTACTAGTGTATGTGTACTATTGTGAAGCTCTGTCTAGGCCCACTGACAATCTATGGTCTACTCATTGGTTCTTAAAATTACTAATGCAGTTTTTTACCACAGCCACTGTAGTCACAAAACCTATCCCAGGTACAAGAACACTAGCTTGTTAGTTCACTAATTCTTCTGAATGTCAGTAAAGTTAATTCAAGTATAAAATAATAAATGACAAAAAAATGAACGGTATTAAAACAAATAATGTTATTAATTCTTACCTGAAAAATTTCATTTGTAAATGAGTTAAATACAAACTGATAACAATCACAATTCAATTGCTTAATCTGATTCACACCCTAACAGTTTTGTTCATAAAAATTGATGATATTTGTAGCACCTAGACCAATATCTCTCATATCCCAGCCATCCTGATGAGCACTGGATGTAATAGATGTAGAAATAAGGCTTCTGTGTTTTTTTTTAGTTATATTCTGAAAATGAGAGAGCACAAGTTTAAGATTTAGAAAGGATAGGCTATGTTCCAGTTACACGAGTTTTATTTTTCTACCAGGGGGATTGACTTTTTTATTACCATTATTGGTGGCCAGTGCTTATAGGAGCTTAGGAGAGAAATCATTAATTTCCTGAGACATAAAGGGTGTTTTTAAGTTTTTACTTTTCACAAAGGTGGGTGTGCAAGGACATCATTGAAGAACCAAATGGTCTCTTGTTGGTGTATGTAGATTATGTGATGTTAACTTTAAACTGCTGACCACAAGGACAGCATGAATAGAGCAGTTCTTGTTGTCTATCTAGATATTCTTAACTATTTAATGAGACTGTTACTTTTATAATGTACCCACAACTAAATATGCAAAGTGTGAACTGAAAGTGGATGTGCAAGAACAGCCTAGATGGACCAAACCATCCCTTGTTGACTTTCTCTTATATTGAACATGTGATCCAATATATGAAAACCCAAATGCACTATCTTACACTTGTTATAATTAAAGGACATTCGGTAAATATTTATACCAAATGATTCACATCATCCTGTAGTACCCCATCATTTTCAAAAAAGCTAGAAATATCTGAGTTCAATATCATCTATATACTATACTCATTTACAAATTATTCCCCTAACAAATATCAATATCACTAATGTATGTAAGACATAGCAAAGGACCAAGTACTGTCCATTGAGACACTCCACTATAAATAACAATCCAGAATAAGTCTCATCCAACCATCCTACAATGCAATTTACTAGTCTTTCCTCAGCCTCACTTATTAAAAAGTTTGAAATTTTATTTATACCAAATTTGCTAGTCTTTACTCAGCCCCCACTAATGTGATTTTATATTTGATTTTTTTGTGGCACCTTATCAAAATGTCTTTAAAAAACTTATGTTACCAAATCAACACCCTTTCCATCATCTAGATAACACATAATATCCTCAAAAAAAAGTTCACTATGATTTTGCGTAGCATCTTTTATCACTCTCTCTAGAATTTTTTCTACTATAAATGCAAAAATAACTGGTATAAGATTTCCACAAGTTCTCATGAAACTTATTACATCTGCATCTTCATGAACATTAGCATTCAGGAAGAAAGTTCTACTCCTAGTTTTTCTGTGCTCGATCACATACCTTTAAATACACTTAACTTGAGAAACCTAGTATACTTTAGAATCTTTTTCACCTTCACCTTTAAAAGTACCATCACTTGGATTAAAGTTGCTTCTTAGTCCTAGCTTTCATCTATTTCACACCTTTATGAACCCAGTATATTTATCACTGCACTCCAAGAAGTAAACTTGACTTTAATATTTCTTTTCTTAGTTTAACTCATCAATTTACTTTTTAATTCTTCAATTTGCCATTCAGCAACTCCTAGCATGCTAGCTGTACAAACAGACTCCAATTGTATTGAAAACTACAGTGTAGAGAAAATTACAAGTAATCAAAGCATTTTGGAAAATTTATTGAGATACTCTATTGCAGTATTATGCATCTTTTTGGAATCACTGACAGTTACATAGATAGTATGTACTATAGAATGAGAAAGAGATGTTGAAATACTTCATAATTTTTCAATAATTTCACAAGGCCTTAACCAGCTTTTTGCATTTTTTTTTTAATTTGGCTAAAGAACAACACAGTGGTCATCAATCGTTTGCTAAAATAATTGACTGAGGCTGTTCACACTGCTGGACTAGCAGTGCCAATACTGAATACCAAAAGATTGGCTATGTGCATTGTTAACAATGTCACTTTTTCTCACTTTGGTGATCTCCAAAAATGATCAATCCTTTTGGGTATCAAGATTTGACATTAACCATGCCCACAGGCCTTGTAGAAAGCACAGTTTGGTCTCTATCAATGAAGCATTACAAGCCCAACTGAGTCAGTTACTTTTCTGAACAAATAGTATACAGTATATAGTTATAACTATACATATAACCTAATAAAATGAGAAAATATCCTAAAATGTTAAAGGGAAAAGAATAACAAGAAAAGCACTTTTCCACTTTTTTTGTAGTTCTTTCCTCCAACCCCTGGTAATCAGCTGATCCACCTAACATTACAATTGTACAATCAGAATTTGGTAACATGATGTAAGTAATGTTCCTTCTTTCGATATGCCTAATCTTTTAAACTTTTGATTTTCTGCATTCCAGCAACAAGCAATCAAGAAAGTGCCAAAATAAATATGGATAAAGGACACTGATAAGAACAGAAGATAAAAATTTAAAATGGAGTGGAAGAAAGATTTTATCTGGCTTGAATATGACAGTATGTAAAAAATGCCATGTTCTGCCTTTGAACTAAAACAAGCAGTTTCTTAAAACTAAGAGTGGAGGATAGGATATACTAAAACAAAAAGAGGAACTTAATATACTAATACCATAACATCTTGGTTTTTATGTCCAAACATCATGGTGAGGGATGGAATGTCAACTTAAAGGACAATTTTGCTGTCTCTCCAAGTGATGTATAGTACTCTAATTATCATTTTTCTTGTTAATGTTTAATGCTTAAATGTAACAAGAGATGATACTCTCCACCTACATCAATGCACACTCTATCCTGGGACTGTATATACTGTATTTCACTTTTTCGAGATTCAATCTCTAATACTGGCTCTTAGTGTGGAGGAGGGGCAGGAGAGTGTGAGAGAGGTAAGTATTATTGGAAATACATTTTCAATTTAGGAAAATGTTAACTTCCAAAACATACTTAAATCCTCTTACACTAAAAGCTAGAATCCCACATTAATAAGGTTGGTGAGAGCATTATCCATACAGAAAATGTCTGCATACGTCATGGGTGTGTCAATAGAAGATTGCCACCCTAGTGGGAGAACCACACTACATCCCGAACAGGTATGCTCTTCACCCTGAACTTTGTTCCTGTATCATGGGTGAAATTGTACTTAAGTGGTCATCACTATAGGCTAGTCCCAACCAGACAGCCAAGGTTCCACTACTCGAGGCTGGAATTAAGGGGTCTTGGTCCCTATATCCCATGTTGGTGACTCAGACAATTGGACTGCAACATTATATATATATATATATACACACACACACCTATGAGTGGATCCCAACCTGTAGCCATAGAGTGATGCTTTCCAGGCCACCAGAATCATGACAAGAAAGTAAGAAACACCAAAGTGGATAAACCTTCCACTCCACCTGAAGAAGCCCAAAAGACAACACCCCAGGCTCAGAATGACACTATAATGTATGCCTTACTCAACCAAAGGAACAGAACTCATCCAATTTGAAATTATGAACATCATCCTCACTCCCCAACCAAGTGGGCAAGGTACATTTCACTTGTCCCTGGAATTATGGAGAGGACATGTAACAATTGTGCTCAACCAAGGACCCAGGATGGAAACACGTCACGCTCGATATTATGAGGAGATAGTGGACCCTCTATCATGAACAATGTATTGAATCTGTATTGATCAAAACGAGGGCAATGTACACCCCAATCGGATAGGCAAATTACAAATCTGAACCAATATTATGCCACTGGTGCCACTCCTACCAACTCTGGGAAAAACATCCAGGGATCCGGGTAAGAAGGCCCCAACTTCACCCACTTTTTCAAGAGAGGAGGAATGCACTCTAACACTCTGAAGGAAAAGCCTCTGTCCACCACCCTAGTAACTGGAAACCAAGTGTGGTAAGGACTCCCTATTTCCACTAGTAGAATCTGGAGGGTAATGTGCAGTAGGTGGAACAAGTTCCCTAAATTTTTAAAATCAAACCAACCTCGACTTATTCAATCCAAAGATTAGCAGAGACGAGCAGGATCCCCTTATGCTTTACTCATGATAGACCATGAGTGGCTGTCCACCATAGAACAGTAATAACACCTGGTCAGCGCCTAGGTGGTCTTATGAAACAATTCAGTTCAACAGAGCCTGTTGCAACCTGTACAAAGTATATTCAATAGTGGTTGCTAGTGCAGAATTGGTTTGATAAAAACACACACCTGTCTGGGCAAAACTCATCACAGAGTGGAATCCCATGAAAACAAGGTAAGGGACCCTGAAAGTTAGAAATAAAAATACTCACCCCTCTGGATAGTCTAGAAGAACTGGTGAAGATAGTGACAGGGGGTATGCAAAAACCCTCAGATTGAGATGGCCAGTTCATGCAAATAAAGTGAGATAAAGGTATTGGAGAGATTCACATACCAGTCCGCACCAAGACATCCAGCAGGCAATTTGACTGGGTTGCTAAGGACACATAAAAGTGACAAATCTGATGAGATGCGACTCACACAAGATTCCTCGCCTTCAAAGAGAGCCCAGAATAAAAATTTTTGTTTACTATTCCTAAAGATATTAGTGCAGGCTACAAAACCTTCAAGACCCTCACTGAACATGACGAAGATCAAAATCTGACTGGACAAAGAAAGAAATGGTGAACAGATGAATCAGAGAAAAGAATTGAATGCCTTTCCTGTCTGACAGTGTGTTGTGTAAGAAAAATTGGTCTGAGGACATAGAGAGAATGTGAAAGTGGTCTGTGGACAAACAATGCAAATCACTCAGACCTGAGATGTCGGTAGGTAAGCAGCCATGAAAAATAAAGTTGCAGCTAAAGGGGATACATGGCACGTAAAAGTCAGATCACAAATAGGTGTGGAGACAGAACACGTAATGTAACCTTAATATACCTGGTAGGTAACTGGAATGGTCATTTGGGACCAAGTACTCAAAGCAACTTGGGAAATCTGGAGAGTACTGGGGACTCGAAAAATAGGCAGCCATGATAATCCAATGGTAGTCAACATATACACGGCAACCTTAGAAATTAAATCCCTGTGCACAACAAACACCAATAGTGGTATCAGTATTTGCTTAGTCCAAAAGACATATTTATCAAAGATAATGACTTGCATATCAGCACTGGTGTTTTGAGATAAGGTAGAACCCATTTCAATCAATAGTGTCAACCATAAATCGTTTTTTTTTACCTGGCATTTTCCGCAATCATTTTGTTTAAGGTGGCCTTATTGACTACCATTGGATTATCGTGGCTACCTTAGAAATTAAATCCCTGTGCACAACAAACACCAATAGTGGTGGTACACCACTGCTATAGCAACATACAGATAGGTCCTAACTACAACCAACTTGGACATCTACAATCCCAGTAAAAAAAATCACCACAGATTAAGAAATGAGTAATTTGTGAACCTTGGAGAATCTAGGCATTGATATAATGACAAACATCGATGACAGAACACCAATCTCCTGTCTGCATAAGCCCTACAACTGACAGGAATAAAAACTAACACAACTCTCTCATGACTCCCAAACCAACCAAACACAGATTACCCTAGAACTAAGTTCCAAGTCCCAATGAACTACGGGAGATGGAAACCCTACAGGTTGGATGGATAATAGTGGCAAAGATGTGAATTGAATGACTAACTGTGACACAAGGACCTGCAGTGCTCCTGGACCCATGAGTAATGTTACCACAAAACCGGAAATACTTGGAACCGAGCCCTCACAGCCTCCGAAGGTATACAATAATCACTGATACCACTGGCAATCCAACCAAACAGCAGAAACCTCTGATATAGACCAAACCTATTCTGGGTACCAAAGTAACGAGAGGCTGATGTTGGAGGTTGGGACCCACAAATAGGAATGGAACTATGACTTCCTGTAGGAGACTCCAAGGACAACAGGGAAGAATGTAGGAGCTGAAAATTGACCCAACGTGCAAGCTAACAATGGAGTCAGCTCGTCATCAGTGAAGTTGGTGATCCTGATAGTCTACTAACAAAGTGAAGTGAAAGGTAAACAAAATGTTGAATTTTAGAGTTGTAAGTCCGTAGAGTTAATCTGTCCCATCAGGAGACACTGAACTACTCAGGTGAACTGCAAACTCTGCCTCAGAACCCTGAAATTCGAGGAGCAGATGTACTATTTGATGGTCTGAAAATGCTTCCACCTAGTGGAAGGCTACATCATGAAGTTACGACACTGTGTCGGATATGGCCTAACCATCCCTTCACGTAACCGAAAAATAAACCTTTCAGCATGAACTAAAAGATCTGTGTCTGAAGAAAAAAAAATATTGGCTCCCAGACCTTTCAGCCATCAAGTAATGTGCAGACTCAAAAGCAACCGGAAAAAGTCCAAAACATCATACATTCGAAGAACCAGCAGAAGAAAACAAATCATAGGCAGCTTATCCCAAAGTGGCCTGCTTTTCATTTTTCATAGTTCATTTAAAGACTGTGATGAGGTAAATTTATTTTGTTAGAACAAAGCAACTTTGGCCCTTCTGCCATGTCCACCCAAGAGAATCAATCCCCAGACTAAAGAGCAGCGAGTTGTAAACTTACCAGTTTCACAGGGGGACTGAAAATCCAACAGACTAAAAGAAGACACAGGAAAAAGCAAGTTGGAAAGTCTCTCCAAAATGTCAATGACTGCCCTCAAATGCAGCCTCAGAGGACCACCACAAATCGAAATATATTTCTCCATCTCACTATGAATAAGATCACAGACCATCTCATCCGAGAGCAATCCCCCCCCCCCCCAATTCTTGTGCAACACTAGATATCAGATGTTGGATAGAAGACACACAACTTGCCTTAATGCCTCAATTTTTTATTGATGTTATTATTTTTATGAAAATCAACTAGATAACACAATATGTTCAAAGTATCTCTGAATAATCGTAATACTTGGAAATCCATTAGTGATGATTTGTCAAGAAAAGTGATAAAATTATCTGAATGAGGTGCTTATATACAGTACCAGGACAGAAGGTGCATTGTTGTAGGTGGAGAGTATCACAAGGTAAATATTGTTAAAGGTAATTGAGTGAGTTATAAAAGACTGGAGCAAGTAAGAAAAAAATCATAACACTGCTCAGATGGGCAAAGGAAGAAACCCTGGAGGTCAACTAATAGCTAAAAGTGTCAGCAGGGGTAAGAATGTTTTGGAAACTATGGATGCAGAACTTTGGAGAAACACAGTTAAGTTAAATTTTCTTAATCATTAGGGAAAAAAGATTAGGTCAAACCAAAAAAGGGATTTTGGTGCATCTATTTTTTGCATATTTTTTTCTACTTTTGTTTGTAGAAGGGGTAAAATACATCAGTATCAACAGTGACTGATATTAATATTTATTGTTTACTTTTCTTTTAAGTCAAAAATTTGGTACCTCAACATCTGTCTTAAATACTTGAATTTTTAATAGATGTTTGCCTATTTTGTATATTATATAAGCAGTTTGTGATCATCTTGGTGAAAAAAAAGTAAAATTCTAAGTGCATGAACTTAGAGAAAATTTCTTTACATAACAACCAATTGCACAAAAAATTAACATTTTCACCACTGCCTTAAATTTAAAAACAAAATACTGACATAGCAAAAAATGAGATCATTTACATGCAGAGCATAGTTTTTTTTTTCACATTATTGTTTTAAAGTTATCTTGCAGACAGAAAAAGACTATCCTCCATGCTAGAGGAGTTTCTGTCTACCTCACACACCTGGATTTCTTCTCTGTAGGTGAAAGATGGGTTTTCACTATAATAAGTGCAAGTTAATGCCATGGGTTATCATGGCATTTTGGTTGATCAGTGCCATCCAAGCAGTATGCTCTTGCTAGTGGTAGGGCAAATAGGATTTTGAGTTGTATTAACATTCAATAACAGAAATATTAAATGTATGTTTAAAAAGGTTAATTCATTTTAGATGTTACTGGTTAGGCCAAATTTTGAGCAGTGTGTTCTGTCTTGACCTCCTTACATTAAGCACAATGAATTGTTAGAAAGGATTAAAAGAAGGGATATAAAGTGAAACCTGGGTTGGAAAGGTTGACATATGGGGACAGGTTAATATCTCCAAATTTTCTTTTCAAAATTTGAGGTGTTTAAAACTGGACTGTTTTGGAAATTGACAACATTGATGCATCATCACAAGAATACAAATATAATTTTTGGCAGGGTCGGGCAAGTCTTCACTCAGCTTGGATAGTTTCTTTTTTTTTTAATGCCAGTAATGGTAATATAGATGACCTTTTGAATGAATTGCCTTCAGATGTGGCAGATACAGTAATTTAAGGAAGTTTAAGGGAAGGTTCGAAAATATTTAAGTTTTAAACTGATAAGTGTTGGATTTTATTTTTGCCGCTTTAGATTGTTCTTTAGACTTTAGTCTTTACTTTAGTGGATGGGCTAGCCTCAATCGATCAACAAACCTATTGTTATTTTTTAAATGTTGCTTTACAAACACATATATACCGTTTTGAAGGCTTTGTACTACATACTTTACAATAATTCTTATTTACTTACATAATCAAGTTCGCACCCTGATGAAGGATAGAGAAGTGTGCAAACCGGCTTCAACCACCTTGTTATCAAGAACACACTAGCTAAAAATATGTTAATTATGTAATGTGGATGAGCAACTTTTTTAAAATCTCTTACCGATACTATACCCATTCTCTTTCTCATCAAATACTTATCTACGCTTAACGATATTCCAGTATTAATTTTAGACAGGTCTGACCATAATCAAGTATAAATGGTGCAAATTATTGAATTATATCATAGCCAACAAATGCACCTTAAGCTTTTCATCCGTTTCCACATTTACCTTCTAAACTCTAGTAACAATATTCCCCAACATGCACCAATACACGACTCTATCGCCCTCTTCTATCCTTACAAAAGCATTAACAAACTAGATTATATATAATTAAGTCATTAAATAGCGTTTTTACTACAAGTGTTTTTTAAGAGAAAAAGATTTGAGTTACAACTTTTATTTCTGAAATCGATATGTTTTCAGATTTACTATTATCCACATAATAAGTATGTATATACATATATATCATTATATCAGTATGTGTGTCACAATGGTCTCAGGTTCAAATGTCACAACTAGAACTACCACGCAGTATTATTCGTTGGCTATCCAATTTTCTGGAAGATAGAAAATGTACATTGAGTGGTCACAAGTAAACAGACACCTAATTTTTCGTCATTTAACTGATTTATGCTCACTAATTTGTGTTCACAGAGCACTATATAAATGAAAACGGTCTGCTCACTAATTATCTTGTGCTACAACCAGGGGCGGATTGGGATGGCTAAGCGGCCCGGGATT